CTTTTTTTCCCCCAGTTTATGAATGTCTGAGAATTAAATGATGCAAGTTTATTACCAAAAAATGGCATTAGGATTTTAATATCATTTGATGTTAAATAATTAAGTTAGAAAACAAATGCCAACATGATAAACCATCATATGCACCATATTCAACATATAGTTACATTCAATAATAAATATCTTATGGAATTCATACAACAGAAGCCCACACAAGAATAAGGAAGCTGCCAAAATAGTATCATATCCAGTTGGCTTAGTCAGCAAGAAACCAACTGGTCCACAGATGCTCTTTTTTCTATGAGAAAATATCCTCTTTTGCAAGTCTCTTGTCTGCAAAATGTTTCATATGAACTCTTCTCCTCCTGCAGGCTGTAAATAATTTATTCATCAAACCTTTTTATTTGTAGCAGATGGAAAACTCAGTACAAATTTAAAAACAAAAAAGGGGAAGACTAGAAACTGAGGTGAATAACTCTAATTGCATTATAGTGTGCTAACTTGTAAAAAATGCCTTAAGGCATGGGAATCAACGGACACCCAGATGGATTTGGATGCCTTTTCTCTGGCACAGACCAGAACTGGAAAAGAAGTTGTTCTGAGAATTGAGAGTTGAGAGTGCTTGTTCATCATATGTAAGGATATGAACAGAAGTAATGAGGTTATGACAAGTTGTTCACCTGTATCCAGTGTTCCCTTTCTATCCACTTTCCTTTATTCATGCAGCTGCCTAGCTGAGGTCCAGCCAGTGTCACAGTAAAATAGAGTAGGTGCTCTATTTCTGTAGCATGTGTCCTTTTTTCCCCCTCTATTATTCCCTTTGGCACAGGAACACATATATTTTGTCAGAAAATTATAAGACATTAAAACAAAAAACACCTGCTATGGTTCCAATTCCTTTTCTTTCAGAACATGCACACTTTTGATACCTTAGGTTTAGCAAAACTTCACCAACTGTTGTTAATTGACTATAGAACATAATTCACATTCCTGCACTTTGTATTTTACATAAGGTCACAGAGGGAACAAAGACCCTATTCCTGCATGCATTAAGAGAATGGTTCTCAAAATGCTTTTATCACTTCCAAAGAAACAGAGATACCATTTGTATAATGGGGAAAAGTCTCATAATATGTCAAATAACATAGTTGCTATTGTAGCAACAAGAAAGTTTTGTTACTTTGATTATACATTTCTATTTATAACATATCATTTACCATTAGATAACTACGTACATGTGATGATGGTGTGACAATAGCTCCTCCTCTAATGCAATGACACAGACCAAATAAGCTGAATTTCATTCAACTAAAGTTTAAAACATACCAGAACAAACACAAATAAAGTATTTTTTGAGCTTCATAATGCTTTCACATTCATTTGAATAGTATTCTGTAAAAACACCATCAGATAATGGATCTATTTCTGATAGGGTGATAATATAATCGTTAATAGCACAGATGTGACAGGACAGTAGCACACAGGGGAGGAAAGAAGAATTACACAAACTACACGGATAGGAGATACCCTGAAAAGTGTTTGGTTAAGAATTACTGCAAGAACTCTTTATTTTGAGAGTTATCTGTACTGAACTGTGATGGATCCTGAAAGCTGGCCTGATCTTTATTGATGAAATATTGCTGACTGACTGATTGTAAACCAAGGAGGGGAGGGCATGTTAGTTGTTCTGTTTTTTGTGAATGTATAAATATCCCTGCTTCTGTAATCTTGATCCAAATTAAGAAAAGAAAAATTTTGCCATCAGTTTCAGAATACTCTGTGCAAGGCAATGTGCCTTTGTAATTGAACCCATGTGTCAGAGTTGTATTACAATTTTTTTTTCTTATACTAAGGGATGCACCTGCTATCTGGGATTTGGTTCTTAAAATATGTTTTGGCAGAGAATAATATAAATACTGAGTATAAAGGTGATGTAATTATGATAGGGTTATTGACTTGGAAGTTAAATGAAGACATTGCTTTCATAGACAACATAAAGTTATCTCCAAGCCAAAAATTTCACGTTCCTTACCATAAAAAAGAAAAAAAAGTTTTCTCAGACCAATGAGATCAGATGTTCCTGTGCATCCAGCTGCTTCCCACCCTGACTTGCACATTTTATACCTCCCAGAAGGCATTTAAAATCTGCAGCATCACTGTTGAGTTTATTGCACTATTAAGTTAAAAACTGCATCAACTGTTGTGTCGTATTTAAATAGAAAATTTATTGTGGATGGGTTATTGTTGCAGGAAAAGAGTACTGTTCTCTGCTAAAATTCTGGAAGACATAAATGCAATCTCTTTTATTTATAAAAATAAATGTAAGGAAATTATTAATGATTTTTTTTTTCCATTCACATGATATTTGCATGGCTTCCACCCATAACTGGCCTCTCCAATCAATTGAAAAATGAAGGAATTAATATTGAAAATACAATATTTTGAGCATAACTGGGCACTGGACAGAGTCGTATAAATAAAAGTTGCTGGGATAAGAATGAGAAAATATTGTTACAGCTGTAGAGGCACATACTTGCAACTATTTCAGCAGGTATATACCTGTACCAAGTTCAACGCATTTTGTTGACTTAGCTTAGTTTAACTTAATGCTTTTGCCTTATTTTAGTTTTATTACTTTGTTACTGTATTTGAAAATATCTAATAACATACTCCTGCAAAATTTCGTTCACAATGTGGTCTGAATTAGGACTTTCAAGTCACAGACTTCAGAAAAAATAATGGAGAAGGAATATTCCTACAAGAAATAGTTTTGATGTACAGTCTCTTACTTATAGAGTACATGTGTGATATTTTTTAAATATGTGGTCAGCCATGATATATAAACAGAAGATACATGGAAATATGCTATATGCCATATTCCATAACCCATATTTCTCTTTGGCATTTGAAATCTGTTTGAATGACAACAGGGAATGAAATCCTGGCTTTCTGCAGACTCTGAAAATAGCAGTAGACAAGGAAACATAAAATTATCAGCTTTGAGAACCAAACTAAAAAAGTTTTCATCTAAAATATTCTATAGTGTTAAGTTTCACACACTCATCAATGAATGCAGCAAGATTTAAAAATTGATAGATTTTTTTCTGATATGTTCCAAAGGAATGTTGATTTATTCAAGCACAGATGTTTTTTCACCTCTAACAGCAGGAAAAATACAAGGAAGAGCAAAGCACATGTAACAAGTTCATGCAGCATTACCAGTACATGTAGAAATACTCTTGATGAAATAATAGCTTTGGTGTTCTTTTCCCTTTCCATAATCTTCCAGCAGTGTTCCCGGGATAATCATTATAGTCTAATCTTTGTCCTCTGAAGGTACAATATCTGGCTTTCAAAGTCTCACACTAATCTACGTTGTGACGCAAAGGGCAAGACACAGTCCTGCAGTGCCACCCTGAATAATTATTTGTTTGGCATTTCTTTTTGTACTCAAGGGGAGTGCCCAGCTTTGAATTCTCATAAAGTCTTGTATTTATTTTAGTTTTCAAGAGTGATCACAGGCTTGGCTAGGTGCCCTGAGAAAACAGGTCTCTGGAGCAACACCCAAGTGGCTGTACTTTAAACCAGAGCTAGTAGAGCTTTAAAGAAATAAATACCTGTGTTGCATAACACTGAAAAGGTATTTCAAGGATTTTTTTCTTTTATGAACAGATATGACATACCTTCAAAGGTCATTATTAATTTTTCTAGAGTCCCAAATGGAATATGCTTTGGCCTTCTTCTTTCATTCTCTCTTCACTTTCTGATGGCTTTTGTTATTGTATAACACCTCTTTAGAAACAGCCTAGTAAATATATTTAAGTACGGTAATTAGTGTGGAAAATGAATATTGCTCTGATTAAACAGAACATTCACACTCAGAACAGTTTTCAGAATTGGAACTCTTGAACTGTTGAACCTATGGTAGGTAAACATTACTGTTATTATTAGTGTGGGTGTAATTTATTGTTCATCACCATCACAGCTAGCAGAGAGCTACCTCCAGGATAACATATTGTACGGTCATGCCATCCCTGCACAAGCTGTAAGCATTGGGTATGATATACTTTCTGTGAGACCCTCTGGACTTGGTGTTGAGGATGTGAGTCATGTGATGTTCTGCTTCAAAATGTCCCCTGAAGTGGTCACTTCACCTCTGGATCCTGCAGACAATGCTCCGTGAGCACTATAGCATTAATAGTGACCTAATGCTTCATGCTGCACTTCTCTTTCTACAGACAAGCCATATTGTGTGTGGGGAAATGTGCGCCTGAGACAGGCAAATATGCGCCTGTGTCCTGCCTAGAGACAGGCAAAATACTGGTACCAAGCAGCACTAGGCACTAAAAGCATCCTCAGTACCCAATCAGCTGTCAGTATTGCACAGGCATTTCCAATTCAACACTGACGCCCTACGCTGCCCTGTTCAACCTGCTGCAGGTGGACTTGCTGCAGCCCTGCCTACATGTACTCCTCCAAATCCTGGTCACATGCCTGCTAGAATTTTTCCATTCTCAGCAAAACGTTGGTGAATTTGCTGAGCTTAATCTGAGACTGCAGGAAGGCACTAATGGAAGTCTTTTGGCTGGGCCAAAATCACTTTGGTCCAGCTGGCTCCTGCAGAGATAACATTACCAAGGCAATGGGGTAAGTGTAGGAAAAAATACTGTCCCACCTTACTCAAAATCACTTGAATTTCTCTTTTCTAAAACTTTAATAGAAACACGATGGTACTATGATTCTGTTGTTTTTGCCATCTGCCTCATGTAAGATTTGACATTACTGCCACCAGAAACTTTCCCTCCTTGTTGTATACTCTGGGTCAGCAGTGGACCATTCAGGCACAACCCAGCAGCGAACACCTGCTTTCATATCAATAGCAACAGGCTGCAGCTAAGCTCTTAAGTAACATTTAGGTGAAATCTAAATTGGAGTTGAGTCCTAAATTCTGGTCTTCCAAATTAGAAACTTAAGGAAAAAAAAAAAAAAACAGAAAGGAAAAATGCAATTCAGAAAATATTTTATTGAGTACAATACCATTTCATTGTAGGCTTTATAAAACACCACCAACCTCTCTGAGGTTGAATACAGCTTGGGCAGGTGCACAAGAATGGGAGAGAGAGGGACAGCATCTGCAAATTTTCATGCAAGAGGCATAATATGAGATATTTGCATCCAGACGATACCTTGTCATAGTGCCCAAGTTTGCACTAGCTCACAAGAAAAAAAAAGAATGAGTCTACATTTAAATTTTATAAAGGATTGTAACAATCAGCTACAAGTTCAAATTTACTGGGTGTTGCCATTGCACATTCAACAACTAAATTCAAGATCATGAAATAAAAATCAGTAGCTTGGATTGAAAGTACTGCGAGAAGCCTTGTGTGGAAACTGGATTAACTCTAACTCCAGAAACTGATAGTTAACAAGACATCATAACCACTGTAGATAAGGACAACTGCAGTTTTTACCAATGTACTAACATCTAACTTCCATTTTCAGCAGATGGAAAACAAGGCAAGTTCCTGGAATTTGGGTTAATCCCACAACATGCATCTAATCAAGACCTGGCTTCGTGGTTCTTGGAAGGAGATTAAACAAACAGTAGTCCATAGGCAATTTTCAGTTGCATGAAGCGACTGAAAACTCATAGAAAGCAGCCTTAAGTAGGGAACAAATGTGGCAATATTTATATGAATGAAGTTGCTGCTTACTGGAATGCAGACCAACTAATTTTTCTGGTGTGTTTATTTTCAGTGATGGTAAAGCATAAATGTGCTATGAAATGTAGGAACAGTCACAAGCAGCCTTGAAAAAGTCTCTATATTGCTTAAATTCTCTCAACCATACCTTTTTATGAAGTATGCATACATTCAGAGACTGGAAGTGTTCAGGTTGACCATATTTCCACAGCTAACTGTATTTTATGAGCTGGTCCCCACAGAATCTTTAAAAATCTGCCATGAAACCTGCACTGTACTGCCAAAGAATTGAGGAGCACTTGTTATAACAGTGAATATGAATGTTAAGTATAGCAGTTAATATATCAAATTACACAGAGACTTCCATTGTCCTTTGGGTGTGCACTTCCCAACATGTGTAAGTACCACCACTTTGACAGGAAATAATTTCATAAAGCAGGATTGAACAATTTGTTAACTACCACAGTATTTTCAAATGGAAAAGAGATTATTAATCCACACTTTAAACTAAGAAAAATGGAAAGGTAAAATTTAGCATATTCATTAGCAATTAGAGAAAATAGTCCAGGAAGGCCAAAATATTCAAATAATTCAGAAATGTTCTGTCGAAATGAATTTCTTATTTATTAAAAAGACAACACATTCTCAAGAGAGCACCTTCTGCAATGAAATAATTTAGTTTCTTCATATAGACACATCATACACAATGTTAACAACCATGAAAAACAATACAAAATGCTTTCAAATTTAACAAGTAGAAAAATATAACTAGTATATATGGCAATTGTGAATCTAATACTGTACAGAAGTATTTATGGATTTTACAAATAAATAATAGCTTAAATGCCCTTTTTAAATCTTCTAACTGTACACTGAAACATAGGTTCTGAAGCTTACCACTAACTTGCCACAAACGTGTGCCAGTCAAATGTTCTGCCCACAAGCTCAAAAAACTTCTTGTTGGGTTCATGGAAATATTCCTGCAGTTTCCCGAGTAACCGGGTATCTACTTGTGGGTGTGCTCGTCCTTTGGACTCATGTAAACAGCGCTCTCTACCACTGTCCCTCAGGCAATAGAATCCCTTAGTTTTATTGAAATAAAAGTTTGAAGCATTTATCTGTGGTGATAACTTCAGAAATCTCTCTACCTTTTCTATTTCTGGAAAGGGATCTTTGATTAGTTTATCCCCGTCTACAATGTGGATATGATCAAGAGGAAAATACTTCAGCCAGTTCTGCATGTGAATGTAGTATAAGCTTCTGTTTATTGCCTTGTAGTCCACATTGAGTTCACCATTTTTTATCAGGAATTGCTCAATGGAGGGGTACGGCTTGTGCTTCTGCATGTGGTTGTAGAACACTTGGGTATAATCTGACAGTACTCTTTCACTTGGGTCTCTTAAAATAAGGAGTAGTCTCATGGATTGGTTCATGTTATAAACTCTTTCAGGCACTTTAGGTGATGTGAAATATGCTGGAGTTTTTTCCACGGTGATCTGATGGGGATACGAGAATGGCATTTGATTAATATACCACTGCAATCCATTCCTGTAATGATCTTCCCAGTCAAAGAAGTGAACTTCACTTTCTGCTGCTGCAATGTCTGGATGGAGACTCAACATCTCTAACAAAGCTCTTGTTCCACCTTTTCTCACTCCAATAATAATAGTCTGTGGCAGCTGCTGACATGATCCATTAGAATGAATGTTTTCCTTGAAGTCATTTTTCTGAGAGGTTTTCTTTAAAAGCAGAACAGACTGAGAAGAAGTCTCAGCATTTGAATTTATAGCTGGTCTGGAAGGCACTATCTGAGGTTGAACAATAAGCAACACAGCTCCCAGCAGAAAAGCTGCCATGACAGAAGTTCTTAGTCTGGTTTCACTCAAGCAGGTAATAGGGCATAGAGCGATTTCCACCAAGACAACTTTTAAAAGTGGTTTTTGTTTTGCTGAGCGAATGTGTATTTCTCAAGCAAAAACTTCGCTGAAAGAGGGAAAAGAAAAAGCACATTATCTTATATTCAGCCATACTGCAAATATCTTTTCCTTTTCAAAACTGAACAAACTTTAGCTTTCCCAACTCCAGGCTCATAGATAATTCAGTGTAATTAAATGTCTTAAAAGACAGGCATATGCAACAATGCCGTAAGAAAATTATTTCCAGTCATCAGGAGACATTAATATTATGAATCTTTCATTTGCACACAGGGTATTATTAGTTATTATTTTTTTAAAAATCTGATTTCCTTGGAGTTGAACCACAATCACAGGAGAATTCTTTTTTTAGTCTACGAGAACAGGTTTGTCTTAGAAACAAAACATAAAAAGGAAAAGGTGTGGAGGGGACCAAAAGAGCATGGCTAAAAGCTGAGGGTCTTGTAGGGAATTACAACCTCTCAAAGAACCATGTAACAGCAACCGTAGAAATCAAGCCTCCTGGGAAAAGGGCTCATGCAATGCTGATAGAACTGTCCACCGTGAGAAGGCAACACTCTCCTAGAAAGGAATTAGGAAGACCTCTAGGTAAACAGCACACTAAGGAAAAGTTGAATTTTGTGTCATTTTTGAGTGAAGTTAACTTTTGCTTTGTGCTTACTGTTTCTAAGGATAAAATAGGTGGCTTGCACACTGACCCTGCAAAGAGGTAAGATAATGAAACCATAGACTATAGTATGACTGAATCAACAAAATACTAGAAGACCTGTGGTTCTCGACTCCATACTCAGGAAAGAAAATACACAATGGATACTTCTGAAGGTCATTCAGGAGTTAGCCAGCAAGCTGCTGTGATGTAAAGAACTAACTTTAGGCTTTATCAAAAGACTACTAAATACCACCATTGAACACCCTTTAAAGGTCAGGGTATTTTTAATGCAATGTTTGAAGTGGAATTGTAGCGGTTTCACACATGGTAGAGCTATTAGATTGTTGCAGTATGAGCAGGCTGTGTACACAAGCTCCCTGAATTACAATGTCTTCCAAAGACTCTACACCCTCAGTGAAGGGCTGGTGTGGATTTCAGTATTGTCTAACTCCACTTAGAAGTAGAAGCCACGACAGCTGAGTACCTGATTGCTTTGCCTTAGTAGGCTACTGTAATTATGAATTTAAGCCTGGAACAGCACATACTGTGCCAGCTAACAAGGGCTGAAATATGAAATTACATATGAACAACCTGAGGAAATGCAAGGGCTAGGTTTTGGAAATGCTCCAGAGAATCTGAAAAGAAACTAATGACTTTTCCACAATAACCTAAGTCCCAGTGCAACAAGGACTAATGATGTGTTTCTAAGTAATCTAAAGTTCTGTTTGATAGCTTTGCATTTACAGAGGTCATGACTCCATCCTGAACGGAACAGGTCTGCTTCCTGATGTTTTCCACTGATTATCACTTCATTGCTTTCCCTTTTTCCATTTTTAATGGGCTATAAGGCAGCAATATTGTTAGGAAGCAGAAATCGAGGCTGCAAAAAAGGGAAGCAAAGTGTCGCAATACATGTGAAGTTAAGAGAGGGCCTCCTTGTATGCCCACAGGCTTTGAGCTTGTGAGCATACCTTGTCTCAGGCTATTCTGCAGTGTCTGATGTGAGGCAATTCTGCAGAGGAATTTGGGGTTTTTTTCCATTTGTGGCCACTGTTAAGTTTTCTCTGTCTGGAAGAGTTCCATTTCATCTGTCATCATTAGTCTTCTACTCTCTTCCCCTGTCCCCACCATTCCTCCTAAACATTCTCAGCTTAATCTATATCACTTTTAACAAGAAATAGTATTAATAGCCCCACAGTGTGGATGTTGATGGGGGAAGACACTGGGTGACAGAAAATTTGATATAGGTAAATTCACTGAGCTATGCAGCCACAATATTCAGCAGCAATGGGAGCACAGGATTCATCAGCCAGATTGGATCAGCGACTGATGGGCAGCTCAGTACATAAGAACAACAAAACATCAACTCTGTTGAATTTTAAGGTCACAGATTAAAGGAATAGCCACTTACTTCACAGTATATTTTAAGTCACTGGCTCCATAAATAGTAAGCCGGAGCAGTTGTCTTAACACCTTATTGGAAAAGCATAATAGGATTCTAGCAAGGAACAGGTTGAACTGTGTGGAAAGAAGTGAATTTAAAGCCTTCGGATAAGAGCACTTATTTCTTAATAGTCAGGTTGAAATATGCTATGCTAACAGCCAAGTTCTGCAACAGACTATCACTGGAAAAATTAAATTTTAGCTGCTGCTGGTCTCATAGCGACAACACACCACTGGATTGGAAAGGGGGGGGCATGTTGATTTTTAGCCCTGTTGTTGCTGGGGGACTTTTAGGGTGTTTTGTTTTCTCTTTGAAAAAGAAAATTAATGCTATATATTAATTCATTTGGATTCTTAACTTGTAACTCATAGTTTGCATACTAGTCAGTTGCCAACTTCTTTATTCAAGCCTTCTTGTAGCTGAATATAACACAGGAACTTTTGAGAAAAAGACAAAGCAAGGTGTCTCTTCATTCTAGCTCTAGTCTTGCCTTAGCCAGCATCTTTGAAATCAGAATGCGTGGGATATTAGGTGTGGTACCAGGGGCCCCACCTCAGGCAGGTTTTTGAGCCTCAGTGGAGCTCTGTCTCAATGTCTTCCCATTGTTAAAGACCTCTGTGGGGCACAGCTTTTTCTAAATGCACAAAAGCAACTCTTTCCTGTTCCAATATGAAATCTCATTGTAACATAGGAATATCTTTTGTTTCAGACATACAGAATTTCACTGTTCCTCCTCAGCTATTTGTTCAGGTGCACATCCTCCAGTGCAGAACACCTGTACCGTATCGGTAGCATTATTTCTGTGCACTTCCAAAAACCCATATCAGTAACTATGACCTTCAGAGTACCTATATGCTATTGTTCTTTTGTTTGCAAGCAATAAAGCTTTGTCTGCCTTTTCTTTCCATTCTATTTTCTTTCTCCCAAACTGTAAAGGCCTGATATCTGGATCAATTATTTTGTTTTGTTAGACTAATGCAACACAATTGACACGACTGTGCCTCCAAATTCAGCATAAAATACACAGTGTGTGAGAAGAGTGGTCTTCAGGAATAAAGCAGCATATAAATTGGTTGTCATTCAGCTCTTATGTCCTACATTCTCTTTAATGCTTTAGGTCAATCTCTAGTTTGGTGTCTAGAATTACAGTGGTTTATTAAAATGATGCAAACACATATTCCATAGCTTTATAATCTGTGGGTCTGAAAAACTCTTTCAACAATAAGAAGCATGCACTGAGGAGTTTAAAGCAGGCACATTGCCAAGTTACTTTTCTGCTTTAAGAATTCTCTTCACTGCATCCACAAGTCATGCAGAGCATACATGACTTCACTTGATGACTCTGTATTGCAGATTAGTTCAAAAAATTTAACTGACAGCCATTACTTTTGTATTTGCTAAAAGTAAATGAGCAAGTGGTAAAAGAAACACAGTTTATGTTAAATGGTGCTGTGAAGATTATACCAAGACTTTTCAAAAACTCTGATTGCTTTTGCTTAATCTTTTCTTCAGCTTTCTCAAATTAATTAGTGAAATGTGCCATCCTGTTTATTTAACCAGATTCAATGTGGACTTTATTATTAAAACTTCTTCAACAGTAATAGTAACTTGGAAATAAATAGAAAATTTAATCAGTAAATGCAGAATGAGGGCCAGAGGCTGTCATATGTCATTGACCTTTAAGCATGTTTCAGTACTCATTGAAACATGTACTACTATTTTGTAATTTCTGATATTTCTAGGTGTTTTCCAAAGGCATTTTAATGTCTCCATATGTGTGTCATCAGTGACATTGCCTAAACCTTCTAGATTATACAGACTTCTTAGTTTAATATGCATTAACAAAATAAGGTCGTTTCTTCCTGGCTGATAACTTCATTTTTGCTGGGAATTGGATAGGGCTAGATTTAGCTCTGAACTTCCACAAGAACCTCTGAGTTAGCTGGCCAAGTGGGTAGGAAGAGGCATAAGGAGTGTCTGGAGGGCAGTCAGTAAGCACCAGCCAGAGCCTGACCTCACAAAAAAAGCCCACAGCAACACACTGAGAGGTCCAGCAGAGCTAACGGGACCCAGGTACTACCAGGACAGTCACTAGGAGAGGTAAGACAAATCCTTCCATCAGCATGCAAGTGACTTCACCTTCATTAAAGAGAAGTTGTGTTTTCCTGGTTCTTTAGGGACTGTGGACAAACACGTTAAATTTCAGATGGCCTCACTTTATTTCCTTGCAGAACTGAATCCCTTCACTGGAGAGATCTCTGCACAGCCATCTAAAAATACAGTCTGGACTGAATGAGAACTATACTTCACTTGCTGAAGTTTGTCTGTAGAGGGAGATTAGAGCTGAAAATCTGAGCGAGACATTCTGTTCTTACAAAGAATACTTAGTTTTGCTGATGTGATAGAACCTCAGGACAGTTTGTGGACTGCATTTTCCCTTGCACATATTTGGGCACACAGTACTGCAAAATATAAGACTAACATTGCTGGTAAAACCAAGCTGTGCAGTACAACCCACACATCTGCTATGCTGGCTTCTCTCAGTAAAAAAAATTCCCCTAACTGAGATAACCAACTTCCTAAACTGATAAAGACCCAGTGTCTGAACATTTGTATTCAGTGATGTGTTTTAAAAAAACTGAACTAGAGCAATTGCAGTGTACTTGAAATCCTTCAAGAACTCATTGATATGAACAGTATATTCCTATCCTCTAATAGTAGACTCTGTCCACCATAAGATGTATTGCTTAGTTGTTTATTTTAGCTCAAGTGCCACTTTGTACCCTGATAAAATAAAAATTCCCAGTACAGCTATCACTTAAAGCTCAGCCAAGAGCAGGAAAGGAAAAGGAGCTGCTTTGTTTTAAATTTAATTCAATTTATGAAATGTGTTTTTTCTTGAAAATATATTCTGAATTTTTTTTATTTTTATCTGTCTGCATCACAATGGCCTCTCCATTAAGAAAATCTTCCTGTACTTCCTACTGCATACACTTGTGGTTTTTAATCCCATTTTAACAAAAGTTTTAAACAACATTTGTTAATGAAATGCTTGAATTCTAGTTTCCAGTAATTAACTACAAATACTTTTCCACATTAGTGAGTGCTACAGAGATAAGTGTAAGGAAAGAGAACTACATACTACTGAAGGTCTCTAAAACCACAAACTATTGATCACCCCATGATATATCAACAAAGTCATTTGCACACTGAGAAGGGACATGAAACTACATGCAACTGTATGAACCTGTCTTACAGTGTCTAGATGATATGTACATTTCCCAAATTATATTAAAACTGCTGCACAACCAGAGAAGATTAAACCATGGCTTTAACTTTTATAGTCAGATGTTAAGAAATCTAATAATAATTTCAGTGCTGTTGAGATGAGATACTGTCTATCAGCACTACAACTTCAGAAATACACTTTAAAAGGTTGGTAAATTTTGGGAAGTGGAACTTCACAAAATGAGAAAGGCTGACTTGGTAGGAAGTATTTTTGGCTAAAATCTGCTGTGTTCTGCACCTGCTGTGATAAATACAGTTCATGCAAATTAGACAGGCCACCAGTTCATGACTTCTAAAGGAGTTCAGCTCCAGTGTGAGCAGTAAGGTAGCAAATTTACAATAGACTGTGGTTATATATAACATGCTCTCTTTCTTAAGGCCAGAAGGGACCATTCCACTCTTTCATGGCAAGAGATCATAAAAACTGTTAGAAGAGAAAATACCCTAGATTTCAGAGAACCTCATGCAGGTAAAAAAAAAAATGGGACATTACACCAGAATAAAAATAACTTGAAAAGCTGAGGATGCACAAAATTTTTTGTACTGAATAGTAACATGGAATCCCCTTAACCCCTTCTAGCAATTTTTAAAATACCTGTCAGGATTCAATTTTTTTAGTAAAGAGGGTACACTGTACCACTGCCTCCTCTACCCTCTCCACAAACCCAAATGCTCAATTCAAAATCCAGAAATTACTTCCCACTCCACTTTCCAAGCAAAATGGGTCACATTCTAATTAGGAAGCAGAAATCTATCGCACAGCTAATAGAGTTGCTTCTTAATTCATCAAAGCTGTCCCCAAGAAAACAGTGTGTGTGAAAAGATGGCTCTGTCCTGTCTTGCCCCTTTCAGTACAAAGGCTCACCTTAACTGGATGCATTAAAATAGGGAACACAGGAGACTAAGCAATCCCATTCTCATATCCTCTGCCAAGCAATTTCTTGCCTCATACACAGAGATGTGGGTCCTGTTTCAAATACCAGTATTCAAAGAAAAATAAAAACAACAGCAACAACAACAAAAAATCTCCACACCTCAAAATAGTCATTTAGATCATATTCCAAGAAGTCTTCTGTGTCTTCCACTCTCCTGCCTTCAGAATAACACTGGAGCAGGGTGAATACTGGTGAGGTCATCACTGTATTAGACTCAGCTAAACCAATCAATTTACTAAGCAAAGCACTACACAGTGACCTGGAGGGAACCCTCATGTTCTGGACTGACAAATGAGATGATCAGCAGGATCTCCCATCTTGGTCTGCCTTAGCATACTGCAGTTTTGTTCTTCTCATTATCAAAAGTTTTCATGGAAATCCATCAGCTCTGACATATTTTTGGGGTCCAATATCTTATACGTTGTGAGGGGCATTTCTAGATGAGGGGAGAGATCCCAGGTTAGTGAGACTAATAAAAACATTTTCTGATTTCCTCTAATGAAAAGCAGAAGAGTTCTTTTAATCCGTACATATACACATGTACTAGAAAGTGTTTTCCACCCTTCTGTTTTCTGTAATGCCTGTGTAAGCATATGGCTGGTTCAGAATAACCAAGGTAATATCCTGACAAGAGGGACACGGATGGGAACCTGGCAATCCTGAGGCTGGAATTTGCTCTGTCAAATTAGGGTCTCTCCACTGCAACAAACAGCTGGCCTTGCTTCAGATGCATAACCTTCCTGCTGACCTACCAGAGGTAACTTTGGTTATGTAGTATCAAAACCCTCTGCATTTTTGAAAGAGGAGAAAAAAAGAGGGTGGATCCTGAAAGGAGAGAGAGTGCAGGAGAGAGCTGAAGTTGATGTCAGTGACTGTGCTCTTACTGTGAGGTGCTCGTTTGTGAGCAATGTGAGAAATTCACTTATTCGAGAGTGTAGCAAATGCTGACAGATGTAAATTGCAACAGTTATTATATTTATACTTACAAATTAAGTTTGATAGCCAGAGAATATATAGGCATTCACCAAACTGAATGTGTTCTACTATGATCCATTTGCCATATACACTGCAGAGGCTCTCGCTCTGTGGGAGTGGGCACTGCATGGATCTCTCATGCCAGAAAGATGCTCCCTGCAGACGTTCTATCCCCATGCCATTCAATCATGATATTCCTAGAACTTCACAGGTATTTTTTTTCCTTACACCAAAATCCGAAGAGGAACAGTCTTGAAACTGGAAAAGCCCTTAACCCACTACGCTGACAGAGAAAGGAAGGAGAATAATGTACTTTAATTCCCAGTCAGCTAAGGTGATCGAACTGCCTGTACTCAGCTGTGTGCCCCGTCCTGATCTTTTGCATGTCTGGCTGGAAGATGAGACCAAACCCAAACTCTTCCATCTGAAGGCTACCACCCCTTCCTATCAGCATCCTTTTACCCTCAAAAGATTTGAGCTGCACACACCTTTATCCTAGGAAAGCACACCGAGAACTGCAGTAACCAAGCCTTTGCTGTACTACTCTAGGGTGACAGTCCTTCAAAACAGAAGCGAGCTCCAATTAAGGCTTTGTGCCCTCCTGCCGAGCCCCAAGGACCACTGTGCCCCCAGCCCTACGCAGCTCGCCAGGTTCCAGTTCAGCGCGCTGCATCCCACCGGCTCCAGCATTATGCTAGGGAGCGAGCGGATCGAAGATGCTCAGCAGAGCTCTTTTGCAAGTGTTCTCCCGTCAGGCAGGCGCCCCGCTTCCAGAGCCCTGCCACTCTGCCCTTACTTGCGCTTCTCATTTTGCCACAAGAGAAAGAAGATGAAGAAAGTGCCCAGAAGCCGCACCTGGCCAGGTGCTGCCGTACACTTTCCTTCGCCCCCCGCTTTCTCTCCTACCCCACCGTCAGCGCTGCCTCCCAGAGCCTGACCCGGTGAGTCCGGAGGGCTGAGGCAGCGTCCCCGCCGAGGCTGGGGACAGCTCTCAGGTACCGCCCGGCCGGGCAGACGCTCCCCAGCCCCACAGCGGCGCTCGCCTGCCGCGGCCGCGGGGCTCCCACCTGCCGGCAGCAGGTGCCGGCCGGGCGGCGGCGCCGGGCGGCAGCGCCAGCGCGTCCCGGGGGCGGCAGAGCCCATCCGCGACCGCCCGCACCCTCGCCCACCCCTAACTTCCCACGCTGCCGGCGCAGCACGCGGCGCGCCGCTCCCCTCCGCTTCACTCACCGCCGGGGCGCGGAGCCGGGGGGCACGCCCGGGCCGCGGGCTGCGAGCGGCGGCGCCGGGTGCGGGCAGCGGCCCCTCCGCCCGCCCGCGTGCGTGCCCGCGGACAGCGCGCGCTGTAAACGGGGCTCGCCCAAATAATGCCGCAGCTCCGGGAAACGAATGGCTGTCCGCAGCAAACGCACCTGCCCCCGCCTCCATAAAGTCGTAGAATATCTTGATGTGGAAGGGACGCACAAGGATCAGGCAGTCCAAAAGGGACGCACGAGGATCAAGGAGTCCAAGTCCTTCGATTGCCTCCTTCCTGTACTTATAAAAATACCACCCATGCGAGGTTGCATGAATAACAGACTTATAGTGCTTGTATTTACTTCCTCTACTTCTTGTTTACTTTCTTGGGACTTTACAAAATGGCTCTGATTTTTTTTTCTCCTGAAATGCTGTCGGTTCAGCCAGATGAATTTGAAGCAGTATGGATGTCTGGAATGACTGAAATACTCCTCCTTCAGAGCAGTGGGGAAAAGACCTTCTGGGGATTTAAATCCTAGGGTTAATTTATTGAAATAAGTCTTTATTTACCATAAACTTAACTGTGGTGGTTTTTTTTTTTTTTTTGGTTTGTTTTTTAAGACAAAATGAGTTTAAACTGGCATTAGCAAACTGCATCCATTATTTCAACAGCCAGACTCTTGAAATTTACTGTGAGCAAAATACAGGCCCAAATAAATAATTAAAAAAAAATTCTCAGTTGATTTAGATAAATTCCTTGTAGTTTAACACATCTGACACAGGTAGGGTGTTCCCAAAGAAAGTCTATTAGCATGGGTTGTACACAGGTTTTAGTTTTTTTGCCTGAAGTGATGAAGTTCAGACAATCCTATTAGGATTCTGGGATGTATCTCATCAGGTTCCACAAAGTTGTGTATGCTCAGGTTCTTCAAGTGGTCACAAATGTGATCTGTACTTACAGTGGGAGGTACTTTGTTCCCCCAGTCCTCATCCTGCTGTCCATCCATGATAGAAGTGTGGGAAGAGTGGTTGCCATTGAAGGCTGAGGCAAAAAAGTGGTTTGGTCCCTCAATCCCCTCATCCATTGCCCAGGGTTGTTTATCAGGTATTTACATCTTCCTGAACCTCTCAGAAGGGCTTCTTTAACCATGGGCTGTGACCTGCTCACTCCTTGTTCACTCCTTGAGTGCTGGGCTGTGGGAATGCTGGCTCACACCTACACACTGCCCCAAAAACCAAAGTAGTGCACTGGTGTTGTGCACAAGTATTCATGCTGTAAATTTTCTTATATCCTTTACCTTCAGCCTTGGCCTGCACTGATAATATCACAGGAGGCAAAGCTACCAATTACGGAACTCCGTTTTCTAAGCATGACTTCTGTTGAGGGAAGCAGAACAAAGATGATATGTTTATTAAAGTATCACCAGCAATTTCAAGGATTAGAGGAAGTAGCTGTGTTTGTGGAGTTTTTGTTTACAACCATTTGCCTGCAGCCTTGAAATATGTAACAGAACATCTGAGGAGTGAAGAGTACTCAATTATGTTCTAAAAAGACTATCTCCAAGTAGAATTTTGTTAAAGGCTTTCAAGAAACAAATGTAAGTTCTTAAGGAAAAATAGGATGGTATAACTATAAATGTATTTTATTTTATGGTTTTACATATTTAACATTTGAGATGTTTTCTGTATTTAAGTGTACTATATCATTGCAGTGTAGTTGCTTTAGCACAAATAGATATGTACAAATACTTTACTTTTAATTTTTTCAAACAGAACATTTCTCAAGAGTGTTTACTGAAAAAAAACCCAAAACAATAACTCTGTCTTTTTACTTTGTATTTTATACCTTTCTGTGTGTTTTATTCTAAATCTGAGAGTCTAATAGAGAAATACATTAATTTGTGATTAGCTCTGCTGTTTAACCCTGATATTTATGTCATGATTGTGGGTTTTGATTATCTTGGAAACAGGTTAAAATCAAAAAACTTTAATGTTGTTCGGCTATAACCTGCATAGTTCAGTCATAAGGGATCACTGTTTCTTCCATGTGATCTATACATCAGATATCATAATACTCATTTCATGTTTAATACCCAGTCTTGATATAAAATAATCAAAAGATGAAAAATTCATAGTTTCTTTATTGTTCCAATCATGTACATATCTTTGGTGTCAAAATAATAACAGAAAACCTCTGTGTACCTTTTTATCTGAAGATATCTAAGTGTAACTTCAAGCCACTGCTTTATATTATCACCTTCCCAGGTAGATTAAAGATATGCTTTGTCCAAAAACATACTTTCTTATTCTAATTAGGTCATTTCTCAGTATTATTTTTCTCTTTTTAATAAGCTAAACAAAGTGATCTCTTGCAGTGTCTCACAGAAAGGCTCAAGAAAGTTTAGATTTAATTACTTTTCTTCACTTTTCACAAGGTCTCATCAGTGATTACAATACTGATGCTTAATATTGACAGTGATGCATTTTCACAATGCTTTGATAATGAATCCCAATTGCCAATAAGGTTTCAAGATTTGCTGGTTGCACAGCTCTTTAGCTATTTCAAGTACCTTTCATTGTTACATAATCCTTACTTTTTAAATTCACATGTTCCAAGCTACTAAATCTGATGCCTTATGAGAGTATTTCACCTTCATACTTCTCTTTATTGAGCAAATTTGTAATTTCCTCGAAGGAGGTTTATTTGATATGATGGTGGTTATTTTTCTTCAACTGTGGGTAAGAGAGAGTGACGTTGACAGTGCCATATTTTTGTTTTGCTGATTGAGTAATGACTAATTTAGAAGAGGAAATGAGACTTGAAGCCAAAAGAATGAGAAAGGAAATGAAAATTATCAGTGCAACATTGCCAATACTTATTTATGCTTCCCTCATTAGTCCAAAAATGAAGATGTGAAAAATGGGGTTACCAAAGTTCTAGCATATCCTGAATGACTGACATGTGCCATACGGGTAAAAGGAAGGCTGATCTGCCCAAAGGTTCAATTAAATGGGAGCCTGCTTAGAGGAAAAAAACTCTGCTGGAGGAGATGGCAAATGATTCTTAGCCAAGACCAAATAATTTGGGGATTGAGCTGAGGACAGGACCTGTGTTAGAGGCAGAACAGCAGAGGTGGGATGGCTGCTCAGCAGGGAAGGAGAAGTGTCTCTTCATTGTCAGTGTCTCTCAGCCAGCACTGGAGGTGGCTTTAGTGCTGGCTCAGCCCTGGAGCTGGCTGAAGTAGCTCCCAGTGCAGCCTGGGGAGCATTGGATTCATGCTGTCATAAGCATCAGAGGGATTTGGAAACTTTATTTCAAACATTGTGCTTCTCACAATAGGTGTTTTGGAGATGCAGAGGTGGAAAGTAGCTGAAAGAGCAAAGACATGAAAAATTTTTAATTGAAGAAATAGTTAGAGCTTTCTGTGTATGGTCTGTGTTGGAGCTGCCTGTTACACAACAAAATTTACGTTTTCCAGGTTGAAGTAATGCAGATATGACTTAAGAATTCAGACTCAGAGATTTCTATTTGTCACTGGGAAATACTCTGGGGAAATCAGGGAGGAATTAGTGGTGTTATCCAGTCAGCTAATGGAATTTAGGTGTAGAATTGTAAAATACAATTAAATAGGTATATATTGTAATGTTATTTTAAATTCAGGAAATAAAGGTGTGTTACTTCAGGTCTAAAATTTACAGAAAATGTGTCTAACTTAGGGCAAGAGTGTAAAGACATGAATAAGGTGCCATTTTGACTAGAAAAGCAAAGGAAGTGAAAAGGGTAGGGAAGTATGGAAAGAGGTTTGTGGTTGGGAGTGAGAGGTTATAAGGCAGCCTTTGCACGGGTGAAGTACCTCTGAAGAGAAGAGCTGTCCATGAGGTGGAAAAAGCAGGTTGGTTGTTGACAGTAGAAGGCACAACTGAAATAGGGAAACAAACTGTGGGAATGAGACTAATTCTGAATGGGTAGCATTGAACAAAAATGCAAAAGGCTAATCTGTAAACTTTTTGACAGCTGAGTTTGCTTGTCAGGTGTCCAGTGCTGTTGATAGCCAGCTCTACTTCTCAGAAGCAGTGATGGTGCATTTAGTAATAGTAATATTGAGGAAATGTAATATTGTGGTCCAGGCTGGGAGCCACCACTACCCTATATCCTCTCTATGGTCCAGTATATTCTAAAATTAAGTTCACACCTTAGATTAAGCAATAGAATGCAGAAAAAATAATGAAAATGTAGCAGATGGAAAGGAACTGTGTGAGAAGGACCAGACTAGTCTAGGTACAATACTGAAGGAGGTGCAAGGAAAATCTAAAAAGCCTAATCTCCTAAAAATATTTTCAGGGATGATTTAACTCCAGAGAATGAGTGAGAGCTTGCAGTGTAGATGGGCTTATGAAAGCAAGGTGGAACTGAGGCATGCAGAGAGGAACCTTACAGTGAAAAGAGAGGATAAATGATAATTAAGTGATAATATTGAACATTTCCAGAGAAATAAATAAAGGCTTAGTCTGAAGATTCCTCACAGCCCTGCCTCATAGCTCAGTTTAGACTTTTATTTAAAATTATCTCTGTGAAGCATGCAGTGTTACCATGGCCTTCTAATTCATTTTCTTTAGTCAGACATTCTCAGGTTGGTACTTTAAACTCCAGGAGTTGAATATTGAGCATGGAGGTTTATACTGCTGTAAGAAAGAGGCCTGTCAAAATTCTGTAGTTCAGCATAAACTTTTAAGACTTTTCCTTTCCCTAACTGTAGTGTTGTTTGCAATAAGAAACATATTATCACTTGTTAACTCAAGACTCTGAATCGTGGCTTTTACATGATCTGAAGAATGCTGGTTTTAACAAAGTAAAGGAAGGAAAAGATTAGTAGTAACTTGAAAAGGATAAGATTTAAATTCCAGTTCCATGTCAGACTTGTCATAGCTTT